TCAGTGAAAGGCCGGTAGATTTCACAGATAACAACAAATGGATCGAAATGGACGGGAATGCTATGGCAAACTTTCATCTAGCATTAGCAGATGAAGTATTGTCAAGCATCGAGGAGAATAAGACAGCTAAGGAGATATGGGATCATCTCACCAAATTGTACGAGGCCATATCGTTGCACAATAAAATTTTCCTTAAGAGGAAATTGTACACTCTCCGTATGCCAGAATCTACTTCAGTGACAGAGCACTTAAATACGCTGAACACTTTATTTTCTCAGCTTACATCCTTAATCTGTAAAATATGAGAACAAGAACGTGCTGAACTTCTACTTCAAAGTCTACCAGATTCGTATGATCAACTCATCATCAACTTGACAAACAATAATGTCACCAGTCTAGTCTTCGATGACGTTGCAGTTGCTGTTCTACAAGAAGAAAATTGGCGCAAGAACAAGGAAGACAGACAAGTAAATCTGTAACAAACAGAAGCGTTGACAACGACGAGAGGGAGATCAATAGAACGTGGCCAAAGCAGCAGTCACAAACATGGTAGATCGAAGTCGAGGAGCAAGAAGAATTTAAAGTGCTACAACTGTGGAAAGAAGGGTCACTTGAAGAATGATTGTTGAAGTCTAAATAAAAACTTCAATCCACAAGGCAATACCGCAAACACTTCAGATGATGGAGATGCTCTATGCTGTGAAGCATCAACCACCGTGGAAGGCAGAAAAAGATTTACATATGTATGGCTCATTGATTTGGGAGCGACATATCACATGACCTCAAGAAGAGAATGGTTCCATCATTATGAACCTGTCTCAGGAGGATCTATGTATAGTTGCAATGATCATGCCTTAGAGATCGTTGGTGTGGGAACCATCAAATTAAAGATGTATGATGGAACAATTAAAGTTGTTCGAGATGTGCGGCACGTGAAAGGCCTGAAGAAAAATTTATTATCCTACGGATTGTTGGATAATAATGCAAGCAAGATTGAGACACGGAAAGGAATCATGAAGGTGTTCCATGGAGCGCTTGTGGTGCTGAAAGGCGAAAAGATAGCAGCAAACTTGTACATGCTGAAGGGAGAGACTTTGCTAGAAGCAGAAGCCTCTGTTGCCTCAAGTAGTTCAGATTCTGCAATGCTATGGCATCAGAAACTTGGACACATGTCAGAACAAGGAATGAAAGTTCTTGTGGAGCAAAAGCTACTTCCAGGCTTAACAAAGGTATCACTTACTTTGTGTGAGCATTGCATAACAAGTAAGCATCACCGGTTGAAATTCAACACGTCAAATTCTAGAGGCAAAAATGTTCTAGAATTAGTTCATTCTGACGTATGGCAAGCACCAGTTACATCCCTAGGTGGAGCAATATACTTTGTCTCATTTATTGATGACTACTCTAGGAGATGTTGGGTGTATCCTATTAAGAAGAAGTCAGATGTGTTTTCAACTTTCAAAATCTTCAAAGCGCGGGTGGAACTTGATTCTGGAAATAAGATCAAGTGTTTCAGAACAGATAATGAAGGTGAATACACAAGCGAAGAATTTGATGACTTTTGTAGGAAAGAAGACATCAAAAGACAGTTCACAGTGGCAAACACTCCTCAACAAAATGGAGTGGCAGCGCGGATGAACAAAACCTTGTTAGAAAGAACAAGAGCAATGTTGATGGATGCAGACCTAGAAAAATCATTCTGGGCAGAAGCAGTCAATACCGCCTGTTATTTGGTGAATCGAGCTCCATCAACTGCAATAGAGCTGAAGACACCAATGGAGATGTGGACTGGTAAACCAGCTGATTATTCAAACCTCCATATATTTGGAAGTATTGTGTACGTGATGTACAAATCCCAAGAAATCTCAAAGCTTGATCCAAAATCCAGGAAATACAAATTCTTGGGGTATGCTGATGGAGTCAAGGGGTATCGCTTGTGGGATCCCACTGCCCGCAAAGTGATCATCAGCAGGGATGTTATCTTTGTAGAGGATAAACTACAAAGAAAAGAAGACGATGATAGCACTGAAAAGTCCGAGACTACACATATAAATGTGGAAAATGAGTTTGAACAAGGAGATTCTTCTGAAGCAGAACCATCACATGATGAACAATAACCAGAGAGTTCTGAAGCACCAACAACTCGTCAATCAGATCGTGTAAGAAGACGTCCCAATTGGCACTCAGATTATGTTATAGAAGGTAATATTGCATACTGCCTTTTAACAGAGGACGGTGAGCCATCAACATACCAGGAGGCAATAAACAGCTCAGATGTTTCACTGTGGATGATGGTGATGCAAGAAGAAATCGAAGCCCTTCATAAAAATAATACATGGGATCTTGTGCCACTACCACAAGGAAGGAAGCCGATTGGTAATAAATGGGTTTTCAAAATCAAGCGAAATGGTGACGATCAAGTTGAGAGGTATCATGCAAGACTGGTGGTCAAAGGATATGCTCAAAAAGAAGGTATTGATTTCAATGAAATATTTTCTCCTGTGGTTCGACTAACAACAATTCGTGTAGTTTTGGCGATGTGTGCTACATTAAACTTACATCTAGAGCAGCTAGATGTTAAAACTGCTTTTCTTCATGGAAATCTTGAAGAAGAGATTTATATGCTCCAACCTGAAGGTTTTGAAGAAGAAGAAAAGAAGAACTTGGTTTGCAGGTTGAACAAATCTCTGTACGGTCTAAAGCAGGCGCTGAGGTGTTGGTATAAGAGATTTGATTCCTTCATTATGTGCCTTGGATACAACAGACTAAATGCAGACCCTTGTGCTTATTTCAAGAGGTCTGGTGATAACGATTTTGTTATATTGCTGTTGTATGTGGATGACATGTTGGTTGCAGGACACAACAAAGATCATATTGAAGAATTGAAGGCACAACTGGCTAGGGAATTTGAAATGAAGGACTTGGAATCAGCAAACAAGATTCTAGGGATGCAAATTCACCGAGACAGAAGTAATAGGAAGATTTGGCTTTCACAAAAGAATTACTTGAAGAAGATATTGTCACGATTCAACATGCAAGATTGTAAGCCAATTTCTACCCCTCTTCCTATTAACTTAAAATTATCCTCTAGTATGAGTCCTAGCAGCGAAGAAGAGAGGATGGAGATGTCTCGAGTACCGTATGCATCAGCAGTGGGAAGTTTAATGTTCGCTATGATATGCACAAGACCAGACATTGCACAAACAGTGGGAGTGGTTAGTCGGTACATGGAGAATCCAGGCAAAGAGCATTGGAATACAGTAAAGAGGATCCTGAGATACATCAAAAGGACCTCAAATGTTGCATTATGTTACGGAGGATCAAACTTACTTATCAATGGGTATGTTGATTCTGACTTGCAGGGGATTTGGATAAAAGCAAATCTACTACATGATATGTGTTCAAAGTTGCTGGTGGAGCTGTAAGCTGGGTTTCAAAATTGCAGTCAGTTGTGGCTACATCCACAACAGAGGCAGAATATGTAGCAGCTACACAAGCTAGTAAAGAAGCAATTTGGTTGAAGATGTTATTAGAGAAGCTTGGGCACAATCAAGAGAATGTTTCTCTTTTTTGTGACAGTCAAAGCGGCTTGCATCTAGCAAGGAATCCAGCATTTCATTCAAGGACAAAACACATACGAGTTCAGTACCACTTTATTCGTAAAAAAGTGGAAGAAGGAACAGTGGATATGCAGAAGATCCATATCAAAGACAACATAGCATATTTCATGACAAAGGCGATCAACGCTAATAAATTTACTTGGTGTCGATCCTCGTGTGGCCTGTCAGAGACGTAAGCAACATAATGGTACAAGGTAGAAAGAATGATGTGAAGATATGATTGTTCCAATCAAATCTTCAAGTGAGAGATTGTTGAAAGTTAAATTGCACAAAATCAATTTTGATGGCTTTGCACATGGCAAATTCGGTGGCTTTCGGTGGAATTAAATGGATGCAGCATTTGTTGATTTTTTCAACAATGGTAAAACTTCAATTTTAGCCATTTTAATTTAGGGTATTTACAAATTAGTCCTTAGAGCTTCAACTATAAATACCCTAGCTCATTTAGCTTCAAAACCATCCCAAAGCATTCTAGCTTTCTTCCAATACTAGAGAGAATTTAGAGAGTTTCTTGAGAGTTGTTTTCTCCTTTTCATCAAGAGAGAATTATCATTGTTATCTCCATGGTCGATTGAGAGAAGTTGTAATTCCTATTTTCTCATAGTGAAATTCTTCTACCGTTGCCCGGGATTTTTACCTTATATTATTCAGGGGTTTTCCACGTAAATTTTGTGTCTCTTTTATCTTCATTTTTATTTTCTTAAATTATCAGTTGCGCTTTTTCTCTATCCGATAGCCGTCTTCCGCAACAAAAAGCACTAATAGAAGAACATGTTAAAGTTTGAGGGTTTAATCACAACATGTTAAAGTTTAGGGACCAGTTAGAATCTAAGCAATTATCTGGGGATATTTGACAAATTAACCCTTTTTTATTTAGAAGGAAAATAGATAAAGAATCACAAGTATTAAAATAAATATATACAAAAAATTTAAATTTTGAAAGATAAATATTTATTTTCCTAAAAATCAAATATCAAAATGAACAACACGTGAATAAATTGTACGAAGAACAGGAACAATTTGCCCAAAAATATAATAACAGAGAGAAAAAGGAAAAGACCGATTCGATCTCGTTAGCTGTTCTATCCATTTTGCATTCTTACATTTGCCCCATTGTATTTGATCTTTGGTTTATTTTCCATCTTCTCTTATTCCTACATTAAACTCCAGCGTTCAGGTTAGGGCTTTCGTTTTCATTTTCCATTACTCAGTTTTTTCTTTTAATTTGTAACGATCTGATTTGAAGATATTTCATTCATGATATCACAAATGTTTGCAGCTTAATCATTAGATTTATTACTCTCCTTGTAATTTTTATATTTATATTTATATCAATTACTCTCATAAGCTTTCTTTTATTCTTAGTACTTGTTTTTGCATGAATATATCTACTCGGTTTTCGAATTAGGATTGTGATTGTGTTGAATTCTGCTGGGAAACGATGATGGGAGAACTAGCAAGCAGATCAGAGCTGCGGAAGGAATTAGTGAGAGAACGCCGTCGTATAAGGGACAGGCAAAGAAGACAATCTATGAGCCTTGAGGAAAAAGAAAAGCATCTAGCTAGACGCCGAAGAAATTATCAATTGAGGAGGGAAAGGGCTGAAACTGCTCGATCAAACCCTCTTCCGTTGTCAATTCAATTTCCTTTAAGTAATGCCTTAACTTGTGTTTCTAATGCTAGTCCTCAGTTTAATGCTGCTGATGCTTTTGTAAGATCCAATGATGAACAACGACCAATGCTCCATAACAAAAGCTCCCACTGTCAGCTCCCATTACTTTACCATTAATGTTTAGCTTGGAAGAGAAAACACTTTCTTATTATGTTCTTATTAGTTCCTTGTCACGTTTACTCATACAGGTTTGGAAATCCCTGCTCATAAGCTAGCTATTTTACCTGCAAAGGTGCGTTTGAATCGCATAAAAAATCTGGCTCGAGTGATAAATGATCCTGTTGGTAATGGGGTTGCAGTTGGAGGGATGATGAAGGAAAATGGAACTTCCAATTGTGAGTTTAACAATTCATATGGATAGATGTCAATCATTCAATTAGTATATCTTTGATAGCATTTATTAATGAACTGCTCAATCTCGGATTGTATGTTTGTATATAAAAATTTTCCGTTCAGGTTTAACATCAAAAGGATTGCGATTGAATCGTATTAAACATCTTGCTCGAACAATAAGTCCTGCTGGGTAATACACTCTTAGTCAAAGCCATCAAAGCATAACAAAAGGTAAGAATACACATTTACTTATATATAATGTACAATACACACAATTCATTGTTCTTTGCTAAAAGTATTTGCGTTCCAAAAATCCAGGCTGATAATGCGATCTCTAGATTAGCTGAAAAGAGTCATCTCTAAAGAGAAACTCATTTCATAGTAATTTATATAACTTTAAACAGTCCAATAAACTTATAGTTGAGGATGCTATTTGTACCAAACTATCATTTTGGTGGCATTCGGATATACTAATAGTTGCTTTTACGATGTAATTTAGTTGGTTCAACCCGAGTACTCTTTTGAGATGGATTATGACATGTTTTTGTTATTATTATGTGTAGGTTGAACATCTCAAGAAATACAAATCAGTCATATACAAATGTATTCTTGGTTCAAGGGTCGTGCACATCATTAAAACTGTAAATAATTCAACAATTCACGCTTTAAACTGAACCCTTTTCTTTTGTCAATTTCTGCATGCTATATAAGACTGCAAGATGGAGAATAAGGATGGTTGCAACGGTAGACGAGCATCACCGATACAGACAACTTTCTGTACAGAAGGTCCGGGAAGTTTAGAATAGAATTGCATGATGATGATGAAAAGAACCATATACTAGGAGTTGATTTTGACATACGAAATTTTTAACGACTTTTCATTCATTTGGATCAATCTCAGTGCTATCACCTTGTTTTGTAATTCAATTGGATTAAAACATCTTACAAGATTTGATTTATCAATTTTATATTCATCATTGTTTATGGATCAAGTTTATTTTGTTTATGATAGAAAAGGTAATTTGTTTAAATCTAAAATTTTATTGTCAAATCGACACTTAGGGTTTGATAACTTTTTGTGGAAAAAAATCAAATCATTGCAAATCAAAACTAAATATCTTAGCAACTTATTTCTTTCAAGGGTTTGATGACAAATATACTTCTGTCAAGATTTACTTTAACACATAATATTTAAACTGATTTTATTTCATGATATTTTTACTTAACTTATTTATATTTATTTATATTTAACTTTTTTATATTTATTTCTATACCCAAGTTTGTTTTATTAATAAAATATAAAATGCAATAAAAATTTAAAATAAAATCATTCAAAATATTTATCAACTAATATCTACAACATACCAACTCTTTTTTGACAAGATACATACCAACTAATTTTCTAATGTTTAACTGAATTTCGAGCTGAAACGACAGTGAGTTATTATAAATATTTCCATTGATACAAATATCGGGTTCTATTTTTTTTTTATCTATAATCATTTCAAAGTATTAAAAAAATGTTTAAGTCCAAATATTGGAAAAGACATCAATCATCATCGAAAGGGATCGTCATGAATCTCAAACTCTGGATATGGATTGTAAAACACTCCATATGTTGGGTTTTTTTTCCAATACCCCATACGCCTAAATTAATTAATCTAATAAGTGATCTGAAATTTTAATTTGTAATCTACGATAAATGTTATAATAAAAGTAAACTCATCATCTCGACGTGATAAATTTATTAAGAAATTAAAATTTTTAAATAATTTTAAAAAGAAAAAGAAACAGTAAAATTCGTCACGTCGAGGTGACGAGTTTGTCTTGAATTAAAAAAAAGCTAGCCGTTTTATAGTCGTTGTGCAATGGGCAACTACAGCTGTAACATCCCAAAAGTCGGGTCAGCGACTAAAAAGTAAATTTTGGAAACTTTGTGCTCAATTATGAAATAAGCTAAAAGTTCAGGGACTTAAGTAAATGATTTTGGATTAAATAGTAAAGATGAATTAACTAAAGGGGTAAAATGATCTTTTCGTAGGAAATATTTTTTTATCTTCCCTTTTTGAGTGATATAAACGTAGAAAATATGAGAAAACATCTAGAGTTTTATTCTCTTCTTCATTTTCTTCTTCTCCACTGTGGAGCTCTTAAGAAAATGTGAGTTGGTTTTCTTTTGGTTAATTCTTTAAGAGTCAAGCATGGTTTTGGTTAATGAAGCATTAGGAAAGGGTATGAAATCAAAAAGAAGCATGAAAACTTAAAGAGTAATAAGTTATGGTTGATTTAAGTTAAGAAGTGGATAAGTGAATTTGTGAATAAGGATATATAAATGGATTTAAAAGTTGAATTTGACTTGTCAAATGGAAGAGTAAGAAGTTATAAGTGTTAGAATTAATTTTGGATAACATGGAAAAATTGGTATGATTCTTGAATGCTATGCGGATGAGTGGATTTTTAAGTTAAAGAGATATTGAATAAAAATTTATTGGTTTAAGTATGTGTATGAAAGTTAGGAATATTAAAGGGAGTGAAGTATGAAGTGTTGAGCTGAAAATGAAGTGATTTTCAAGCTCAAAATGTGATTTCTGGGCTAGGGGAATCGATACCCATTCAAGGGGAACCAATACCCCCTTAAACGAACCAGAATTTACAGAATGTCATGGGGGAACCGATACCCCCACAGGAGGGAACCGATTCCCCCCTAAAGGAAGAAATGAATATTGGTTTATTAAGTTCGTTTAAGTTGTTAGTATCGAATTACAAGATGTAGGTATCTAATAATTGTTTTGAAATTGTACAATTATGTAGATATCGAACATGAACAAGTTCCAAAACGATTATCAAGTTAAGATTCGATCGAAAGAGATGAAATCATAAAAGTGGATTGGAACTTAGTGAGGCCAAGGTGAGTGCATATTATTAGGTTGTGCATATTATTATATGGAAATTAGACTTGTGATAAGTCTGTTTCCAATATTTTATGTTTGCATGAATAGAAGCATGATTAAGTTTGTATTATGTGTATATGCTTTGTTCATATTTAGAGGTGGGTATACGGGCTACCCGCCCGTTTAGCCCGCGGGTTTTGACGGTGCGGGCTTCAACGGAGTGGGCTAAAAGGCCCGCATTCATAAACGGTTTTGAATTTTAAGGCCCGCGGGCTAAACGGGCTTACCCGCGGCCCGTTTAATAAAAATAATTTTAAATATTTTAAATGCAATAAAAAATAATGTTTTAACTTACTACACCTTTAAAAATGATCGAGCAACTTGAAAAAGAAGGTAGCACCGTCAAAATAATAAATAATATTTAATTTTTATTTTAAATAGCCGTAAATGATTATAAAATAATATTTTTTTTAAATTTTTTAATCCTTAATACATATATATATAATGATATAATTACTTAAACTCAAATTAAAAAAACAATATTCACTTATATCACCAAATTGAAAAACAAATAAAACAATAACCACATTACACTTTTATAAAACACGATAATTCAAGGCTATAATATGAAGACACAGAAGTGTCTGAATTCTGAAAGCAGAAATTTAAACATAAAAATTCAACAAAGTCAAACATTATACAAATCTAACAAGAAAGTTGTCAAGTGGTCCTAATAATTGTATTTTATGGATACTTTAGAGAAAGACTAAAATATAATATGAAAATATATAAAATACTTACAGTATAAGAGTAAATTTGAAAGATACAATTATACTAAAATTGATAAAATATAAGTCATTAATTTGTTAAAATATATTTATTTTGTAAAAGTCTTTAAAAGTTGAAAAGTATGTTTTCAATTTTTTCTTTTACTTTTCTTTCTTATTTTTAATCCAAATATTACGTGTCATGTAATATATTATTAGAATATCACGTGACTTTTTATAATTAAAGAACAAAATGGATAAAATACTTCATGAAAAAAATAAAGGTTAAAATTAAATAAAATAAATCTTTAAATACCAAAATGATAATGATGTATATTTAAATGAAAAAAATATCAAGCATCGATAAAATTATGACTAACGCCCTAATAAATTTAAGAACTACAATAGTTATAAGTAACATCATATTTATAGGTAATTTAATTTTTTTCTATAAAATTCTTTAAGTTTATTTTATCTAAAATTTTATGAATTTTAAATTAAGCGGGCTTTAGCGGGTTTCGCGGGTAGCCCGCGGTTATACCCATTAAACCTGCGGGTTTAACGGTCTGGGCTAAAAAGCCCGTAATTTAAACGATCTTCAATTTTTGAGGCCCGAAGCCCGCACGGATCGCGGGTTAAATGGGTAGCCCGCGGGCCTTAGCCCGTATACCCAGCTCTATTCATATTATATGTTATGAGGTGTAAATTTATATGATATGGGTTATATGGGAACAAAATATGTAACTATATGTGAACCTTATGAGCTGTGTGAATATGTGAAATAAGTTATAAGGGCACGAATCATGTATAATAGTAAATGTTGTATGTGATAACCATTGAAAGAAAATAAGTTAAGTGATCATAAACATGTAAATATATGTTTAGATGAAGATATAATAGCAAAACATAAAGAGAAAATAACCTCAGTGACCAAAAATCCCATATAATATACGATTTTAACCAACTTTTTCCGGATTTGCCAAAATAACCAACAAAATCGCAATGCGATCGCTAATTCGCAACGCGATCTCCATTATCGCAAATTCGCGTTGCATTTTCGCAATGCGATAGTTGAAAATCGCGTTGCGATGGTCTACAGTATCGTTGCGATTTTCCCAATTCGCAATGCGAATAAGTAAATCGCAACGCGAATTGGGAAAATCGCAATGCGAATAAGTAAATCGCAACGCGAATTGGGAAAATCGCAATGCGATACTGACTATCGCAATGCGATAATAAAAAATCGCAACGAGATACTTACTTTCGCAACGCGATACTTACTTTCGCAACGATATACTTACTTTCGCAACGCGATACTTACTTTCGCAACGCGATAATACATAATCGCAATGTGATTTTCAAAGCGCCATTAGTATCCTGGCCAAGTATTTTATTTTTAAATTCCAAACACGAATATTAATATATTGGAACACTGAACTGTCCACAGTATATCCCGTAATCGTAACTCATAACCTAAAACCTAAAATCACAACTCAGTCCCATCTCCATCTCTCACTCTCTCACCCATCTCCGACGAAATCCGTCCCCATCTCCGGCGAAATCCGTCTATCTCCATCTCTCAGAGCCACCCTCACAATCAGAAATGGAAAATCAACCAAATCAACCAACGAGGGTTAGTTTTTTTAATTATATTCTTTTTGAAATATTTGCATTATTATTAGGTTTTTCATATTGAAATTGATGATAAGTTTACTGGTAATTTCAATAATAGATTAACCATTTCACTTAGATTGCTTATTAAATCAACCGAGAATCGCAACGCGAAATGCAAATCGCAACGCGATTTTAGTTTCGCGTTGCGATTCTCTCGTTGCGATAGTCGAATTCGCGTTGCGATTTTCATTTTCGTGTTGCGATTTTC